CAACAGGAAAGAGCCTGGAGGCTCGGATGGCGGTGGAAAGATGGCTTGTAGCTGTTGGAAGTGGATTGGAGAAGATGGTTTGTGGTTGCCGGAAGCAGGGCAAGAGGGGGATGTGGAATGATAAATGTATCACAAAGGTTAAGCTGCAGCCGGAGCACTACCTGAACCTTTGGAGGTGGTCACCAACACAGAAGAGTTATAGCCGGAGCACCTTTTCGCATTTGATACAGCCCCCAGAGGGGAAGAACGTCTTAATTGCAACAACTGAAATCAACAATCATAAAAAAATCTCCACACCATAGGCAAACACAATATAATATAAAGGATCCTAGCACAAAGAAATAGGAACAAATTTGAAATTGGGATATAAGTGGAAGGTGGTAGAAAAGGCAGACAATGAGCAGGGAGGAATTGGAATTGGAAATAAATGGCAATAGGAAAGGGGATATAAAATGCAAGCAGTAGAATATGAAGGAATTGAAATTGTAATTGGATAGAAATAGGAGAAGGGGATGTTCTAGGAAAAGAGAGGGAGGGAAGGGTTGGCCTGTGGGACTGTAGTTGCTACAGTACTGCTGACTGGTCAGGTCCTGTGCCATTGAATGTTTTAACTGATGGTGATATTTAACGATTTCACTATTCTAATTAGAATCCAAATTTTACAAATGATTATTTTATTATATGTTTTGTTCTTAAGAGCTTGTTTTTTTCTTAGGAGAACTTTTAGGAGAAAAATTCCAAAGCACATCTCAACATTGCTATTCTTTTTCCGTGATTTCAAGTACTGAAATTCATAAGTTTAGAAGAAGTTAGCGCTGTAGTTATATTAGAGGTGAATTTATTGACAAATATTAAGGTACAGTCGCATTTATGGACAAATATTAAGTTACAGTCAAGTTTTATAACTCGTAATATTGAATTGAGAGTTTTTTTTGAGATACTAACAGGTCCAATTCCATTATGTTTGGACAATGAACCATCAGAAATTGTAATAATTAGTTCATTATTACATGGTTTTTTATATTCTAAAATTTAGATACCAAATGTTTCATGATCAGAGGCACAAAAATATACATTGTATAACCTTAGGTTAACTTTTTTTACATTTAAGCATTTACATGACTATTTGTTTCTGCCAATGCACGTATATGAGTAATAGTGTAGACGAAGATATTTGTTTTGTGGTTGATTTAACATCTTTTAGAGTTGGTCCAATAATGAATGAGTGGAGCTTTCTTTTTTAATAAAGATGTCGTACTAGTTCATAAGATTACGAAAAGTACAATGAGGCACAATCAACCCAAAAACAGTAAAGATTGTTGATGGATACTGAAGAATGATTATAGTAGATGGTTTCAACCGCTTGATGCATAAATGTTTTCTGAAGATCAACAATTGACTAGGAATGATGGGAGGAGCAGGATTAGTGACTGGTCAGTGAGTATGTATAATGATTGTTAGAGGTTGATGCTGCAAGTGTTTGTTAGATCAAGCTTTGAAAGTTTGATTCACAGATTTGTGGCCAAAGGAGATTGGCGACTTAAGAGGTTGTGTTGAGTAGAAGTCATAGTCATTTAGCCCCTCATGAAGGCTAGAGTTAAATGGAGACTAGAGGGAGTTGAAATTACAAATTGAGATTTTGTATATTCTCTAAGATGGGAAACAAAATGATAGAAATAAAGGGAACAAATTATCGTTCTAGTTAATATGTGTGCCTATTTTTGTCCTTATATTCAAATTTTAAGGCCAAGGCACAACAATTGAGAAAGCAAGTAAAGATCATTGATTTAGTCACAATACTAAATGTTGGCCGCGCATATATGTTAAATAGTTTAATGGATCTTTAGCTC